CTTTTCCAACATAATTTTTAATTGATTGGGAATTTAACATCCTGCACCCCTATCACACTCACTTCCTAGTCCTTCCATGTCTGTCCCCCACCCTTATGACCTCCCCGAAGACAAAGAACATCTTTATCTTAATTTTTAAGAGTTTTCCTTAATGGATTTCTGTCTAAGCTGTTTCTTTGGGGAGGGTGTGCGGTGAAGAGAATGGAGGTTGTCAGTGGCCCATGTTGCCACCGAGGTTCAACCAGATGCCTGTAGTCTATGGTGCTGCCTAAAGCCATGTTGAGGACTATGGGCTGGGCTGCTATCAGGGTCCATGTTGGTGTTCTTGGCCTGTGCTGCTGCTGAAACCTATGATGGTGTCTCTGGTCCGTGCTATAGCAAAGGACCATGTTGATGTTCATGGTCGGTACTGCCACTGGAGACCATGTTGAGGGCCATGATATGTGCTGATGCCAGAGATCATGTGAATGTCCATGGTCCATGCTGTCCCCGAGAGCCATGTGGAAGTTTGTGATCCAAGCTTCCGCTGACTGTAAAGGGCAAAAAGACTGCATTTTCAGTGCTATCGATGACTATAGACTCAGTTGAGAAAGAGGCACATAGAAGGCTTTTCAATATCCTTATTAACAAGCGTCCTCCTGTGCCCACAGAAGGATATTCTACTGCCCACCTAGGGATTTGTAGTAATAAGTTAGAAGAAGGCCATCACAGACCAAAGGTCTGGAAGACAACTCTAAAGCACTGATCACCTTGATGATGGTGGAAAGTACACTAGCAGCATCCTGTTCAAGTTTGGGTACTTTGTCTACTGCTGCCTGTCCAATTTATATCAGGAGAGTAGAGTTTTTTTTTTTTTTTGAGTCTACAATTAATGTGGCGTCTGTGACTCTACATGCTACTCACCTGTCCCCTTTATTTCTTTCGGTGCTTTCTTGCTCCCAGCTTGTCTCCTCTCAGTTCTTCCCAAGTCCAGTGTTCTCCTATCATGTCGCCTTTATACAGACAACTCTGACAACCAAACTTGGTCACGCTTGCTTTTTCAACCATGTCTGCACCTTCAAATCTTTCTCATTCTCCAGGTCCGCATGTCCTTAGCCAGTGCTGAGGAGCTTAATACAGTTCTTCTCCTCTCCGCTGTCCATGGAGTCCTCTGTTTGTTCACACCCTCTCTGTGTTTCCAACATACAGTTTTAGGGGTTCAGGCATCCTTCCTATCTTTACTGAAAGAAAAAACATTGTTGGATCTTGAGCTCCTATTAAACAGGATATGTAATGCTCCAGAGTCCGTAGAATCAATTGGACTTACCACCACCACCATCCTGGTACAGTGCTTGTTCTTCAAAATAGTTCATGAGTCTGGCCCTTGGCAGAAGGAAGAAAGAATTTAGAGGTCTGGTTGCTACAAAACTTTTTCACATTGTCTCCTTTGCTATGTCTTGTGAATTAAGCTGGTCTTGGACAGAAAACCTCAATCCTAAGAGAATAGCATAGCATCAACAAAGACATATGAACAAGTTTCGACTTCCAGAAACTGTACTGACTTAAACCCACAATGAGGGAAGAGCCAGAATTGGAAAGGCATAAAGAGTCTCAGAAAGTAAAATGTACACCACACTAAAGGATGGTGTCAGCCCCTGTGTAGACCACCTAGGGAGGCTAAGCAGGGGAATCAAAGGCGAATTTCCAAAGATGAATGTGGACGTTGTATTAACCAGGCCAGGAAGTAGCCAGAGAAATGAGCAAAGCAAGTCTGTTGAGGCTCATTGGATGTACAACGGCTTTGAGTTACCTTGGAGTTTAAGAAAGAGAAACGGAAAATTTGTAAAACATTCAAACACTCGTTTCACACACACACACACACACACACACACACACACACACACACACACAAATGTGAAAAGGAAATGAGCTTACTCTACTAAGGAGTCTTAAAAGAAACAAGGCAACTCAGGTGTAATAGATGCTTTCTCCCCCGGGACCTGAGAAGGGCATGACTTCAAATTAAGAGCTATTTCTTGGTATTCATGTTTACTCATTTCATTCATGCCGTGATTTACACCCTTTTTTTTTCTCCTCAGAGCACTGACTCTTCCCCCAAAGGGTACCAAGCTCGAGTAGTTTGAGGGTGGATGATGCATACCATGGGCTTCAGTTTTTCACGCTCAGATGCCTTCTACATAAAACTTGATTCATTCCTGTATGGGATTCGGAGTAGAACCCAAGATAACAACTAGCGCTCTCTCAAAAAGACATTCTCTTTGTCTCAGTTCCGCTTTTCTTCTGGTTCTTTACATGCCTCTACTTTGTCATCTTGAGAACTCCAAAAATAACACACACACACACACACACACACACACACACACACGTTGATCAGTAGAGAGAAATCAGAGGAAAGGAAGGGACAGCATCCTGCCTTGCTGCAATGCATCACTGTTGACAGAGCAGAGCAGTGAACAAATATCTACACAGCAGAAAGGCTGTGTAAGAAAAAAAAATGATTTTTTTTCTTAGACTCATACTTTAGACTCCATTTTCCAACCTATATCCTGGGTTGATGTTACGGTTAGAATTTCAAGTGTCCCCACAGGTTTCTGTGTTTGAGTGCTTGGTCTTCAGCTGGTGGCAATGTTTAAAAAAACCTGTGGAAGCTTTAAACGATAACTCCTTGCTAGAAGAACGAGTCAGCTAGTGCGTGTCTTGAGCTTTTATATATCAGCCCCATTTCCTCTTCTCTGTGCTTCTTGACTAGGTATTGGTGTAACCAGCAGCCTCCTTCTCCTACCCCTGTGCTTTGCTTGCCGTGATGGACTCTGTCCCCTCAAAGCACAATCTGAAAGAAACCCTTCCTCGCTCAAGATTGCATTTGGTCATACCAATGGGAATGATTACTAATACAGTGGGTAATGGTGACAGATGTGGGCACACTACCGTCAGGACCGGCAGCCATGGTTCTCAAACCAAATCCAGCACTTCATCTGAATTTATATGACTAGAGAGCTAAAAATTGTTTTTATGTTTTTGAGTGGTTGAAAAATAACAATGACATTTCGGTACAGCTATAACGGTACAATTTAGTGGTGTCTGTAAGTTAGCTCAGTTCAGTTATTCCCATTCACAGTCTATAGCTGCTGGTCACTGAGGTGTTAGAGCTGAGCCATTGAGAAATAGAGGTAAGAGAGGCATCCTCAACATTTAGCATATTTATCCCCAGGTTCTTTACAGGAAACCTTTCCTGACCCTACCAACCCTATGGGTGTCCCTGACAGTCTTCCCAGTTTTGTTGTGAGGAGACTGAGGCATAGAACAGCTTGTTGTAATGAATTATCACACATCTAAAAGGGGGATTTAGATTCACATCATGCAAAAATATTATAATATACATATCCATGTTTTATAGACTACAGTCTTGTTGATGGTCTTTATCGCTCCTTATAATCACCACAGAAACTCTCTTAAGAAATCTTTTTTCATAATTTTCCCTCTTTTATTCTGTGTCTTCTACCTTCTTTTTTTTTAAAGTTTATTAAAATATAAAAGTTTCCATTTTCGTCCCTCCTCCCAACACCCTCCCACTCCCCCCACTCCCTCTCCTCTTCCCTCTCCATTCCTAAGAGCAGTCCGGGTTTCCTGACCTGTGGGTAGTTCAAGTTCCTCCCCGCTCCCTCCAGGTCCAGGAAGGTGAGTATCCAAACAGACTGGATCCCCAAAAATCCAGAATATGCAGAGGAAACAAGTCCCAGAGTCATTGTCAATGACTTTTTAGAAAGACTTCAGGTCAGCCACATTCAGGGAATCCAGCCTCCTCCAGAGAATCTGGTTGGATCAAGCACTCCTTCAGTCTCAGTCAGTTGGCCTTGGTGAACTCTCATTAGATCAGTTCCCTTGTATCAGTGGGTGATCGCTCCTCTTGCGGTTCTGATTTCCTTTTTCATGTTCTTCCTCCTTCTGCTCTTTACTGAGTCAGGTAAGCCAGACCCAAAAAGAGGAATAAGGTATGTATTCACTCATAAGTGGATTCTAGCCATAATTAAAGGTCTTTGAGCCTATTATTCATGATCCTAGAGAAGCTAAATAAGAAGGTGAACCTGAAGAAAATGCAGGTAGTTTTCCTCCTGGAGATTGGAAATAGACAAGAGTTCCAGGTAACCACGGGTGCATGGAGGGGGTGGGAGGGTAGTTGGAAGGGGAGAGGGTTAGAGAGAAGGGAGGAGGGGAGGAATGGGAAATGCTCGGGGGACTGGGGGTGGAGGAGGGAGGAAGGATAGATATGGGTTCAGGGAAGAATATATCTCAACTATGGAAGTCAGTTTAGGGTTTACTAGAGACTTGACTGTAAATGAGATCCCAGGTCCAAGGAGAGATCCCCAGATTGTTCTCTGGACAGAGGAGAGGGTGCCTGAACTGGCCTTGGCCCATAATCATACTGATGAATATTTTGCTTATCACCATAGATCCTTCATCTGGCAATGGATGGAGATAGAGACGGGGACCCACGTTGGAACACTGGACTTAACTCCCTAGGTCTTCTACCTTCTATCTGTGCCACTTACAGTCCATGCTGTTCTTACAGGTTCTCAGCCGTGTACTACAAAGTCACTTGCTCAGTGGCCTTGCTTGGGAAAGCAAGTCCTGTTGATAGCAGGGGATGCGCTTTTACCCTTAGTGTCACCTAGCCATTAGCTCAAAACCTGACTCATGGAAGACACTGAGGAACTTGGAATTTGCTACTTAAAACTGAATTAGCCAGACTTTGATTTGGTGTTTTGTTTTCTTTAATAAGGTAAGCTCCTGTGTGACAGAGATTAATACGCCCACTTCAAGGAAGAACACATGCTAATTCCCAGAGAACCATAGTTAGAGATTTTCTAGGCATCTTGAGGGAAACTTCTGGAAAAAATTCAGTTTCCTCTTTTTTTTAATCTATCTTTTATATTAGCTGGCTCAATATTCACCAACATCTACAGAATAAAGTTGAACTTCTTCATCTCAGCATTCAGGAACATCCCCATAATTGTTTCCAAGACAACAGCTGTCCAGCGACCTCTTCCCGTTTGCTGTCTCACACCATAGACCCTTCACTATTACCCAAACTATGGCTGCCATCTAATAATCAGGCCTTTGACTATGATGTTTACCACCCCACATCTCCAACCATCAACCTCTTCAAGCACTTGATAGTGTAACGGAATGCCCCATCTTACATGACGGGGACAAGCACTAGTGTCTCTCCGTCTGCAGGGTTTGACCTCATGGTTCCAATGAGTGAGGACCTAATGAAGACTTACTTGCGTCTATGCGCTTGCGTCCGATTCTTGCTTGGAGCCATGGTAGTTATAGCGAGATAGGGACATTCTGGAAATGCACAAAGAGACACAAAGGACTGTGTGCTTTATTCCTTATTTATCTAGCATGAGTTAAGCACCTGTAGTGTGACGGGCGCTGTGCTCAGAAGTTTACATTCTGTATTTATCTTACAAATTCTAACCAATTTGATTAGGTAGACTATTATTAGCTTCATTAAACACAAGGAGAAACCTGGGCTCAGGGATGGTGGCAATTTGCCCAAGGACACAAAGTTATTTGTGTCTTGATCATGAAACAGAGCCATTTGTCTCTTTCTCACATATCAGTAACCCAAGATAAATATCCTCTCATCAAAGAGCTCAGGGACTTAAAATGACGTTAATATTATGGCAGACTACTTGTATTCATCATTGGTTCCACAAACACCGGATTAGGGACCTGGAACCCGGAAGAGAAGAACCAGAAGCTTTCCATTTGTTTTAGATACTACACTAAATTTCCAAGTTGAATAAATAAACAAAGAAAGAAGTATACTTTAACAAGTTTTGTGATGGAGATAAAGTGAATGATACAGCTGAAAGTACCTGAGAGACAAGTCCAAATGGGTCAAAGACCTCAAGATAAATCCAGTCACACTGAACCCATAGAACAGAAGGTGGGAAGTAGCTTTGAATGCATTGGCACAGGAGATCGCTACCTGAATATAACAGACACTGAGATCGACAATTAATAAATGGGACCTTCCAAAACTGAGAAACTTCTGTAAGGCAAAGGACATGGTCAACAAGACAGAACAGCAGCCTGCAGAATGTGAAAAAATTCTTCACCAATCCCACATTGGAGAAAGGGCTGATCTCTAAAATATACAAAGAACTCAAGAAACTAGATATCAAAATATCAAATACTCCAATTAAAAAATGGGGTAGAGAGCTAGACAGAATTCTCAACAGAGCAATCTCAAATGGCCAAAAGGCTCGGCATCCTTAGCCATCAGGGAAATGCAAATCAAAATGACTCTGAGATACCATCTTACATCATCCACAATAGCTAAGATAAAAAACACCAACAATAACTTAATCTAGAGAAATTGTAGAATAAGGGGAACATTCTTCCACTGCTGGTGGGAGTGCAAACTTGTACAGCCACTTTGGAAATCAGTATGGTGGCTTCTCAGAAAGTTGGGAATTAATCTACCTCAAGACCCAGCAATAGTACTCTATATTTAGGTATATAGACATATACCTCAAGGATGCAGAGCCATGCCACAAGGATATTTGCTCAACTCCATTCACAGCAGCATTATTCATAATAGCCAGAACCTGGAAACAACCTCAACAGAAGAATGGATAAAGAAAATACAGTACGTTTACACAATGGCGTACTACTCAGTGGTAAAAAAAAACAACAACATCTTGAAATTTTCAGGCAAATGAATGGAACTTGGAAAAAAACTATCCTAAGTGAGGTAACCCAGACACTGAAAGACAAACGCTGTATGTACTCACTCATAAGTAGATATTGGACATAAAGCAAAGGATAACCAGCCTACAGTCCACAATCCCAGAGAAAACAGGAAGCAAGGAGAACACTAAGAGAGACGTACAGGGATCATCCTGGGAAGGGGAAGTAGACAAGGTTTCCTTAGTAAATTGGTAGTGTAGGAAAAGGGAAGAGGGTGGTAGTGGAGTGGGGAGGAGAGAAGGAAGGCTGGGAGGAGAACATGAGGTATCAGGAAGGTTGAGCTGAGTGAAAACCAGAGAGGGAGAGTATGGAAAAACATACCTTGAAAGAGAAAGACATTATGGGGTTAGTGAGAAACCAGACAGAGGGGAAATTTCAAGGAATCTACAGTGATGACCCCAGCTAAGGATCTAAAACTGCCCTTCCTGCATAAGGGCTACCTTAATTGTCATCATAGAACTTTCATTTAGTAACTGATGGAAGCAGATGCAGAGAACCACAATGAAGCACTAGGCCAAACTCGTGGAGTTCAGTCATAGAGAGGGAGGAATGATATTATAAACAAAGGGGCCAAGACCATGATGGGAAAAACCCACAGAAACAGGTGACCCAAGCTAGTGGGACTCACAGCTGGGGAGCCTACATAAGACCAAACGAGGCCCTCTGAAAGTGGGAGACAGTTGTGTGGCTAGAGCAGTTTGTGGGGCCACTAAACAGTGCGTGAACTGGTTCTTTGGATCCCATTCCCTATGGAAGGATACCTTGCTCAGCCGAGATACAGGGAGGAGGATCTTGGTCTTGCCTCAAGTGATGTGACAGAGTTAGTTGACTCCTCATGGGAGGCCTTGCTCTCTCTGAAGAGTGGATGGGGGTGGGCTGGGGAGAAGATGGGAGAGTGGATGATGGGAGGGAGGGGGAACTTGGATTGGTATGTAAAATAAGATTGTTTTAAAAATAAAATTTAAGAGAAAAAAGTACCTGAGGGAGACCAATGTTTGCTGTAGAATTAAGGCAGGGCTCTTTAAGCAATAGACAATAAACTGTGACACGTAGGCTGAAAATGAGATTGTCACAAGAAGAAAGCTTTCCAAGTAGGTGAACAGCTATGACAAAGGAGTTGAAGCCCATGCTACAGCGAGGCTCATCAGAGCCCAGAGGATCCCCGTGTGGCCAAGCAGGACTGGACAGTGGGCAGGTGAAATAAGGAGAAACTGGAAAACTAAAACGCTGGTGCAATGCCAAGTTGCTCTGCGGAGCGAAGCAGTGACTCTCACCTGAAAGCCAGTGCTTTGTGTGGGATGAGCGCACTGTAAAGTAACGGACCGACTCAGGTCTGCAAACTAGAATCTTCGTATCCTGATGTGATTCGTCAGTCGTGCCCTCATGGACTCTAAAGACATAAATACCACACATGCACAAATCACGGAATAGTCCAAGTGGGGATGAGAACATACCTTCTATGCATGCTAGTTTGGCCATGAAACATGAATACTCTTACTAAGCATGATAGTCCAGTATAGGAAACTTGGTCTTAGTTCTTGACAGGTGTTGCTGACAAGTAACTGTCAGGTAGTGGTTTACCCAAATGAGTTGCAAAATTGTGCTTCGCAAAGCTTTGTATAGTTCAAGGCTGTGGAGGGAACACAAACTGGTATCAGACCTTTCCCTCTTCTCTCCCCCTTCCCCTCCCTCCCTCCCTCTCCCTCCCTCCATCTCTCTCTCTCTCTCTCTCTCTCTCTCTCTCTCTCTCTGCTTCTCATATGAGTTCCCAGGATCCTTGTCCCAGGGAATTATTTCTCTCAGCCTCCTCTGTTCACTGAACATACCGCAGCTGTCTTCCAGAGTGGTAACATAAGTCACCGCCTGTGTATCTCACTGCCCTAGCTTGCCCTGAGACCTCGAGAGTGACAAACATCTCTCACTCATCTCACGAGAGGGCTTGATTCAAAATATCACTGAAGAAGTATTTGGCAAGTCGAATTAGACTGACCTTCCACCCAAACCACCTCTCCTACAGCAGAATTATTCTTCAAAGGGTTCCTATTGCTTCTCTTCTGAAAAAGACAACTGTCACATTTATTTAAAAATTCAGTAAACTTTCCTTACTAAATACTCATTTATCACTAGCCCTGGACCATCAGGACATTCTGCCCCTCATAGCTTTTGAAGGACCCTGGTAGCTCTCTATCACTGTAAACTTTAGGGGCACGGCGTTTTTTCACTAGGCATTCTGTCTCCAACCATTAGGCAAGGGATAACGGGAACATGAGAACTTCCTTGCCCGACATAGGATAGATTTGGGAGCGACACTGACTACTTCTGTCTACGCAGCATTGGCTGAGTCAGACTTGGACCGAAAGATGGTAAAGAAATTCCATTCAAATGTGAAATCAAAAAGCGGAAAAAGAGGTTGACTGAGAATCCAGTTCATCTCCTCCTAACCTATTCCCCATCAGCAAAACGAATTTTCCCATGGAGGAGGAAACAGCTTATGTTCTCCTGAAGGAATCCAGGCATACAGTCTTATAAACAGCCATGCTCAGTGAGAGAAGTGTCACATCCCCATGGAGGACCTCAGTGACTCTTCAAGTCATGCCCTGAGTTCAAGACAAGTTCAAAGAATGTTCAAAATTCGTGTTTGAATTTTGAATTGTTCAAAATGTTCAAAGTTCAAAATGTTCAAAGTTCGTGTTTAGCAAGTCCTATGACACTTTTTCAGTCTCTGAAAATATGCTTTAGGGTTTCCTTCATGTATATATGGATGCTGTATAGATAGGAATGCAGATAGCTAGGTATAGGCAGACAGATAGATGAAAGATACTTTTCTTTTTTTGCCAAAGCCCTTTGGATAGCTGGTTTCATATTGGTAAGACTTGAAGGCAGGGCAGTGCAATAATCTGACTTGAGAGACTTCTTCCATCCCAAGGAATAAAATGTGTGAAAGCCTAAGAGGGTTTCACAACTCACTGAAAAGCTAAGACAAAACAAAACAAAAATCCCCCTGGTTTACTCACATAAAGCTTTGTTTTAGTTGTCAAATGAGGAACTTTACCAGCTTGGGTGGGGTTTTCAACATGATTGGCCTAGCTGAAACAACAGGAGGAAGTGAAAGCCAAAGAAAGGAAGGGCACACTGACACTGTGCACAAAATCTACACTGTCACAAATGGTCTGCCCTGCACTGCTCTGCCTGCTGTCCCCTCCCATCCCCAAACCATTAGGAGAGCGGCTTTCAGCAGTAAACCTCTTCCAATCTAGAGAATAGCCAGGAAAAGGCTCTGTTCAGATCTGCTGCGGAGGTAACTAACTGCACATCTCAGCTCCTGGGTCCCTGTTGTGCCCATTGCCAGCTCCAGGGACTAAGCGGGGTTGTGGCGGTTATAGCTCAGACTTGTCTCTGCAACAAGTGGAGTTCCTTTAATGGGTAATTCTGGCTCAAGGAACCCCCAGTAGTCCAGTGCCAGGCAACAGTCTGACTCTCCTTCTGGTCTCCTGTCTTCCTCCTCCTCTCCTTTCACAGATGTGAGGCCTGCACAGGGGTCGGAAGCCTCTCCCTGCCTTCTCTTACTTCCTCCCTATTTTCCTGCACAGGTGTTTCCTCAAACAAATCTTCTCTTGGGTACTTCTCAGAGAACCTAAACTTGTCCCTTCTATTCAGATTTTCAAGTGGTCAGAAGAGAGAGCTTTTGGGGACGTCCTCTTACATTGAGCATTTAGTTTATTCTTGAGCGTTGCAAAGAACCAGTCAGAGAAAACAAAGCATCTTCCTCCTTACACACAGAAAAGCCTACTTTTGGAAGAAAAATAAAGAAAGAAATTCAACTTATACCCCAGAGAAACTGTCATCATTGATAAAAACAAACTTGCTTCATCTTCAAGATGCATGTGAATGGTATGGGTGGATAGTAACCCGTTGTTGAGTTAATGAAGAGGCAATGAAAAGGCAGCTTCCTGTGAAGAGTCAAGTTTTAGCAAACAGAAATAGTAAACACTAGCTGGGCCCTACTCCTGGTCTCAGAAGCTTGCCACACACACACACACACACACACACACACACACACACACACACTTACATAATCCTGTGTTTCACATCCAAGACAGAATAAATCCGGGAATGACCTGGTCAGTCCATTCAGCCCCAAGAAACTTACATCTGTAAGAATGGAAAAAAAAAGTCCATTTTATGAGAATTTTCAAGCCACCTTTAGTTGGTAGTCAATGACATTTTAAAAGCATGCAGTCTCATCAAGTGTCTGATATAACTCAAAGGTCAAGGACCACACAAGGAGTCAAGAAGGCTCCTTGGGAAAACAAGCTGACTGTTGTTAGATGCTGTCAGCTGAATGTTGCCAGTGTTGTGAGCCACCGGGCATACTCTGCCTTTTACAGTTAACTACAGTTGTCTTTGCAGAACACCTGTTTCGGTGATTGGCTAGTTACTGTGTCATCTGAGACTGGTACAGTTACTGTACTTAGCCTTCACTGTCTGCCAGATAGCGCCCTCCATCACTACCCATCTTTGGGGATGAAGAAATTACAGCACAGAGACATTAGGCAACTTGTCCAATGTGGCATTTTAATAAGTGATGAAGAATAGAGCCAACCCCGATCAGGCATTTTCTTCTATGCTTTCTCCTTGTCGTGGGAACCAACAGAGTGAACATAGAAAATCCTCAGTTTATTCTCACAATGGTGGTTAGATTGAAATGGGCTGGGGAGATGGTCAGTCAATGAAGGGCTTGTCTTGGAAGCATGAGCACCTGACTTCCATCCCCAGGACTTACATTGTAAAACAGCGAGTATGGCAGCCCATCTGCTTCTCCACCCTGGGTTTTGTCTGCCCTGAGCTTATATAAGTCATGTGCCTGCTCTACAGTCACTGTGTATTCATACGTGTGCCTGCCCTGTTCTGTCCGGAAACGGCAGTTCTCTCCCTTGACATGATCTAATTCTATAGTCCTGGAACACACAGGGAGAGGAAATACCAGTTTTCTCCAGTGGAGTTTACAAGTATGGCAAGCACACTCCAGAGCAAGATCCATGCAGAGTAGTTGGCCGAAACAAATCAGACTCCATTTTTTTTAAAGAGAGAGAATGAATACTAAATTAGATGAGCTGAGAGGTGGAGGAGGATCTGGGAGCAGTTGAGGGAGAGCAAAGAATATGATCAAAATATATTGTATGCAAAACTAAATGCTAAGTAAGAATACAAATGATAAGAGCTATAAAGAGGTGTATCTGTCATAAAAATCCAGTTTGAGCTGGGTATGATGACGTACAGCGGTGATGATTTAAATGGATCCGTCAACATGACAGGCTCTGAAATCACCACTGGGAAGAGAAGCCTCTGAGCGTGCCTATGAAGGATGATCTAGGTGAGTCTCTGGGTATGTTAAGTTAGCTTTTGCTTGTGTCTCTAAGGGATCCTGTAGTGCAGGTTGAGTTGAGAAGACCCACCACCCTGGTTGTGAGTTGCACCATTCCATAGTCTTGTACTGCATGAAAATATTTTCCTTGTGCACAAGCATTCGACGCCTGCAGTGCCCTAGCCCACATTCCTGCTACACAGCATCGCCTGTGAAAGAAGAAAAGGCATTGGTAAAGAAATTACACTCTTGCTTCGTTACATTCTAGTGATGTCTTGGTATTTTCCAATCCGTTCTTTCCCTCCTTCCTGCCTGTCCCACTTCATCACTAGAGCGACTGCTCATCTCCAAGACCAATATAAAGGGACACGATACAAAGAGAGAGTGAGGCTGTAGCGCACAATCACACTCCAGCGTGAGTAGAAGTATAACTTCAAGCTACTGGAAACTGTGGCTCTGCCTCTGCAGGCCTTCCTCCAAGGCCCTTCCCAAGGGTTTCCACACCAACGCATCTATTTTTAGCGCAAGGCTACCATTGAAGGCATCATCTGACAGAGAACTAAATTCAGAAACTAGGTTTAAATCCTAACTCGATTATCCATGACTGCCTTCTCCTAATTTACAGAATGGGGATAATTATACACATTCTTCAGATGTCATTGTACTTTGTGAATGAAATAACATTCAGAAAGTGTCACTCAACACTTGGTGCTTTAATCATTCACTAAAATATGGTACCTGCTCGTAGACTGGAGTCTAGCAAAACCGTCCTCAGAAAGACTTCAGCCAGTAACTGATGGGAGCAGATGCTGAGACCCACAGCCAAGCATTAGGCAGAGCTCCGAGAACTTGTGGAGCCAGTGGTGGGGTCGAAGGGAGAAGGATTGTAGAAGCCAGAGAGGATCCATGTGGCAGCCAATCTCAAGAAGGTAAATCATCTTCTTGGGGTCGTAGGCAAAGCTAGGACTCAAGCTTAGGTCACCTGTACTACATTTTATACTTTGCTTCAATCTAGAACATGTATCAACCATAAATGGTAACACCAATGATTTGAAGATGAGAATAGTGTCTTCTAGAATAGCAGTTGAAGATCCCCTAGCTCCTTCTCCTTAGCTTCCCTACTCTCAGCCCCCACACAACAATTTACTGTCCTTTTCTGGCCCCTTTGATGCTGCATCATCTTATCAGAAGTTGTGGGTTTTTGCCGAGTTTGACTCATGATTCAGAGATCCCTGCAGTCTATCACTCACTCTGCGGCA